CCGGGATAGCACTGGGCTGGTAGGGCACTGGGCCCATGTCCAAGAGGTCATGGGTTCGATCCCCGCCGGCCGAAAACTCCCCGTGTAGTAAATGGTGACTGATGCACGTTAACTCTGTCGAGTCGCAAAGTCCTCCATGTTCCCATAAAACATCATTACCTCTGGGGGTACTGAACCAGGAGTTTCCTTGTCTTCCGGATTGGTTCAAAATTACAAGGCTACGGAGTTGAACATTAGTTGTCCTAAACCTGAAATTGGGTCGGCTGTTCAGCGACAGATATAAAATATTATGATGACCGAAAAGTTAGATTGACTCTTTAGAAAAAGAAAAAGCGCAAGTGCAATAGTACTAAAATCAGACAACTCATCTTAGAGTTTAGTAATTATTTACGAGTTACTTAAACATTTCTTTGGATTAGTTTTTCTTATCACATTTCTAAAATTTAATAGCTATACTAGTATTCATTAATTTCTGTGAGCTTCGGTTTTTTTTTTCTTTTTTTAATTTTTAAGTTTTCACCTAAAGCATGCAAGATAAAATACTTCATTTTAGTATGCACGTAGTTGTTACTTGTAAAACTGATTTAATTTATATCTCAATCAAATATTGATCGTAAGAAAAGGGTAAAAGTAACTTTTTGACAACATTTTAAACAAATGGAAGCTTTAAGAGCAAAATTGTGATTAATGTATCATGTGATTCAAGATATATATAATGGTAGATTAATTTTTAGACAATTTCATCACAAATAAAAGTATTTTAAAATAAAAACCTTTATCAGATGGGTTAGTTAATTGCATAACATTGGATATGAATTTGTCGCCGAAATAACCTACGAAATACACTGAATGTGAGGAGTTAGGGATCACATCCAATAGATTTTTCTGAAGAAAACAACAATTCTTCCAGCAATTAAAACAAAATTTCTGGTAAGTATGTTAAGTCATTACACTGTATTTTATAGAAAAATTTAGAAACCAATTTGTCTTTCAGAATAATGAACGTTAAAAGAGATAGTTATTAATTGAATCGTATGCGGAACATAGCATTAAATTTTAAAACAATTAAAACTAAACAACTCTTAAAATAAGACTACCTGTCTTTTTAAAAAACAATTTTTTTAGAGTAAACTAGTTTTAGTACTATTCCCGTTTCTTTTATTTCAAGCAGACAATTTTTTAACGTTTCGTAGCTTAGTTTGAGAAAAATTTTGCATCAAACTATCTTCGAAAATTAGTTAAAATAATTGACTTAAAGAATATTTAGAAATAATTACTTAAGTGATATATTTTTTGTTCAAAAAAATACTGTTTTCCTTGTCTACTTTTATTATGATAAAAAGCACTTTTTCCTTGAAAATAAAAATTATTATATGAAAGAAATGTTCCTTCTATCAATAAAATTTTTATATATCATAGTTTTTAAAAACATCGTTTTTATAGGGTGTCAGAAAAAAAAATCAAATTCGTTACAAGATTTTGTAATAGTTAGTAACTGAATAAAATGTCTCAGTGATTTTTTTCATGATACTCTAAAAAATAATTAATTCATTACTTCTAAAAAATCATTACACTTTTTTTGCATAAACAGGGGAAAAACTAATTAACTTTGAAAATAAAAACAACATATATTCCTTATTTTAATTATCTCTAGAGATAATTAGAAACTTAGAGTAAATATAAATACAAGAACTTCTCTAATAATCTTTTAACAACATGATGTTGTAAAAAATCTCCAAAATATTTATTTCCAAAGCTATGAAATTATTAGAAAAATAATAAATTAAGGAACATTTATAATAAGCTACTAAAATTTTTTAGATATAATATAATTTCAAATATAAGACTTTTCATTAAATCATTTTACTCACTATAATACTTGATATTTACGATTAGCACATAAAAAGTGAAAAAAAAATATTTTAAAAATTGCAAGTTTCTTTTTTTAAACCCAGTGATAATCAGGGATTTTTAACTAAGCAATTTTACTACAACAATGACGTTTCCGTCAGTAGCAATAAACTAGTGAAGCAAACATTTATTTTTTTAGTTACAACTAATCATCAGAAAATTACTAAAATTTTAATGTAATGTTAATCATAAGGTTATAATCTAATAATGCCTCTGGGACCGCCAACCATTTTTACTAATTGAAAAAGATAATATTTCATGTCAACAAAGTAACTTTGCTACTACATGGCAACTCTGCTACTACATTTTTACCAATTTATGTATAATGAACCATTATTATAAATGATTTGAAAAATTTTGAAATAAATTATTACAAAAGGTTAGAAAGTATTTCTTGGGCTCTATATACTAGCCTTGATTAAATAAATTTTTTAAAAAATTGAATTTTTTTTTCAATTTCTGAAATTAAATTTAAAAACCAAAATATATCAATTTAAATTATAGCTTTTTCCTACATATTTTAGCGATTCTTTGATAAGAAACGTTTTTTAAGTGTATAAAAATAGAAAAAAAAACTAGTTTTATAAAACGAAAAACAAGAAACCTAACATGACCATTTTGTTGCGACTGCACAAACTTAAGTTCAATGTCCTACTGTTACTAGTTATATGTACTATATAAGCACTACTTTTACAAAATAGTTATGATTTAAAAAAGTTTAGATGATATTAAATTCTTCTTAAGTTTTAAGGCATTAGGTTATCTTTAACAATAAATTGATGGGGGAAATTATCTTTGCATATGTTATGCTATTTTATGTATAAGAAAATGAAATTTTGCAGCAAAAATATTTAAACAGTGCTTTGAAGTATTTAGGAAGTGATTTTAGGAATAGATAAATAAGTTTTAAGTGCTTACTTTACATATTTTATAGTAAAATAATTATACTGTTTCAATCATTGCATTTGAACCCTAGACCATTTTTTCTAAACATGTTTAGACTAGCAAAAAAACTGATCTAATGTTGTCAACTGTTTATGCAAGTTGTATTCAAATGAAGCTTTATTGTTCCCTTTTGAAAAGAAAAAAACATTTGGAAACTACTTAAAAAAATATTTTTGATATTACCTTGGCTCAGTTAACCAATTGGACCTTTTTGATGAAAATGTTAATTTTTTAGGGTTTGCGGTAGTACATGGTGATTAATATTACAGCCACTTTTTGAAACGTGCCCTATTATATTTCAAATAAATGAATATGGATTCCATTATTATTTCAATAGAATATCTGATTCTGAAGAATTTTATTTTTGTAGTTTAAAAACAGCTTTATATTATTGTTATTTTAAATATTTGTATAGTATCAAAAAGAAAAAAAAATTAAGTGGAAAAAAATATAATTCAATAATTTAAGTAAGATAAAATTCTAATTCATTAAATAGAAATACGTCACCTTCTTTGTTATGTATTGCGCGGTTGTGACGAAAACGAAAACAGTGAACCAGAGAGAGATGAAATTCATCTGGTTCACAAACAAAGCTGGTACTTGGTTTAAAAAGGAAAAATTTTAAAATGTGTTAAAACATACACAATCTTCGAAGTTTGAGCCTCTAAAATATTAATAATAACTTCAACATCTGAATAAATAAATATTTCTCGGAATTATAAATTGGTTTTTTTTCAAAAAAAGCTTTAATGAACTGCTTTTTAAATGGTTTGAATCCATTAACCAGAAATAAACATTACTTTAAACATATTTTGACCAGAAATAAGCATTACTTTAACATCTAAATAGTTTAATATTTCTTTGCATTATTATTTTTTTTTCTTAAAAGTCCTGAACAGTTTTCAAATCAACTAAATTAACACTGGATTGCCCAAGGAAGTCATTTTGACTGCTTTTAAATTTCAATTAGAAAAACAATTATGGCAAAATTTCTTAGAATTTTGCGACTTTTTGTACAACATATAATTTTTTTATTGCTAATCTTTACTAATAACTTGTTTCATAACTGTAAATAATATCAAAAATATTAAAAATTAATTTTAAACAAATTTCTTTATACATTAGTTATTCTTTCACAATGCAGTCATTTTGACTGCTTTTGGGCAATATAGGTATTTCAGTCTTTCTAGTGTTAATGGATTAAAACAAATTTTATCCTAACTTCTTTTCACGGTCTCTCACTTTAAGCCAAGTTTTAAACAATTAGACATTCACGGTGGTTAAATTCACTTACAAAAGTAGAGATAATGTGTTAAAGAAATTGGCCCCAACTTCTTTTCAAGATCTCTCACTTCAGACAGAGCTTAAACCAGGCTCACTCAAAAAAGGTAAAAAATATTGTGTCATTCAAATAGTTAGTAACATTCGGAATCATTAAATTATGATTTAATAAGTAAATATATTCCTAGATTAAACATTAATTATCGCTGAGGAATAAAATGCCACAATTTAAAAATGGCTGACGCTGTGGCAAAAGTATCAGAAATCAATTTTAATTCATTAAAAATTGTATCTTCAAACTCTTTGTCGGTATACTCTTTTTCTGCAGATTATAAGAAATAAACCTTGTATAAAATGTTGTTGACATAGAATGTACTGCAGAATAAGTGACGAACTGATGAAAACCCTATACGTTCGAACCTTCAATGTACTGCGCGTTCACATGGGCTAACTGTAATCGTTCCGTTTTAGCCTGTAGGTAGGTAATGTAACTAATATACTTGTTTGAATTTTCCAGGTAGTACTTAGATTCAGCAATAAAACCATAAGTAACACAGTTTTGTATGCAGACAAATTAAATAATTTCTAAATCCTTCCAATTATAAAAAAAATTCAATACTGTTCCGATCTCATGAAGAAATAATGAAAACTGTAAACAAATATAGAAAAGTTCTCTAATATNGCCAATACTAGAGTGAATAATAACAATATCTTTTAAAAAAATTGTGCATGAATGTCAAAACTGATTATTCAATTAGAACTTGTTAGAGTCATTGTTAAATTATATGCTCTGTATATAATATTTAATAAAAACGATGTAATAAAGAAACGTAATGAACCTTGAAGTTAATAAAAAAACTCACCTTTCCAAATATGATTTCTCTATATGAAGAGGGCGTACCACCAAAATCTAAATAAATCAAACCATCCCATGTCAAAGAAGCACATTGCCTTCGTTCTTAACTGATTGAATCTGCGAAATCATATCAACATCTCGTAGTTGGTCAGTCTTATGTGACGTCACTTTGATGTCACGTCTGCCAAACTGCATTCACCCTCTTAGAAGATTAAATAAAGAACGCAAAGAGGTGCATCTCATATTTCATGAGGTCATGACGGCGAGTAAGAAAAAATACTTTTTTCCTCCACCTTGTAAAAATCACTATGATGATGGATCAAAAAACACGAGTCTCAGAATGAATCGCGTATTCGTAGAATTCTCGCGGAAATGTCAGTTTGATATATGAATGTTTACGGAATGTTTTAGTAGAGGCGTGCTTGCAAACGATTTAAGATTCCATCCTGATTTTTTTCGTTAAATATATCTGTTAATGAGCTTATATCTCCGAATCGTAACTCAAAATGGAAATTGCTTTTCCATTTGATGATAGGAAGATTATCGCGATAATTTTAGCAATTCATTTAAAGCATGTTATGTGATTTACATACGTTAAAATCTTGTTTTTAAGCTTAGATCCGATTCTAAAATCAAGAATGTATGTAGCAATTACATTTAGTTTCAGTATAAAATTTATTTATCTTATTTTTACCGTACATTGGTTATCAGACTTTCGTTGAACGTAAAAAATTCATTTCTGCTTTTTTTTAATGTTTCTCTCTTTAAAACTATAAAAAAAGATTGACTTTGTTTGCACCAAGTCGTACTAAAATTTCTATTAGCTAAAAGCTTTACATAATTTTAAAAAATTAAGACATTCTTGGATATTTTTATTTTTTTAGCTTATTTATATTTTTTATTTAGCAATTGCCCATTACAGGCTTTAATGAACTCACATTCTTTTAACGCAAATACTGGTAATAATAATAATAATAATATATTCTTGTGTGAGAAATTAAGAGAATTTGCAAACTTAGTAGATTATCTCAAGAACTACTGGACCGATTTTAATGAAATTTGATATGTACATACATTGATACAATACAAAACAAATAACCATTCAACAATTGTAATACACAATCAATATCGTGCGTAACACTCGTTGGAGTCGGAAGGAATGAAACAGAGGTTGCAGAATAAGCAAAAAAATGGATTAATCAGGGTTGTGGTCCCTTCTTACTGATATACTTGGCTTGCAGCGGAATTTGATTCCTGACCCACTCATTCAGAAACGCTGTTTTCATTCCCTGGAAGTTCTCGTAGGGGGCAACGTGTTGCAATTACCCTCCCCAGAGCGTCCCGGACATGATTTATAGGGTTGAGGTCTGGGGATCTGACTTGCCAATCCATCTGGCAAATATCCACACTCCCTAGAAATTCCTCGACCAGAAGAGCTGTATGTGGTCTCACGTTATCGTCCTATAAAATGAACTCAGGGCCTACTGCACCCCTGAAAATCGAACATAGGACTCCAAGACCTCATCCCTATACCTCACACCAGTCACAGAGCCTCTTTCAAAGACGTGGAGTGTGTAGCCATCCAACATGATATCTGCCCAGACCATTATACCTCATCCACCTTAATGGTCAATTTCGCGGAAAATGGAGGGTAGGTAACGGGTTCCTGGTTCTCTCCATATGACCGTATTTCGAGATTCGGTGTTTAGTCTAAACCGGGACTCATCAGTGAAGAGAACGGTCACCTATTGATCTATTCTCCGCTCTCTGCACCATGCTGAACGGACTTTCTTCGTCCGGAGCGGGACGCAAACAGCAGGTCTTCGTGCAAACAACCCTCTCCCATGAAGTTAACAATCACCCTTGATACACGGGCTCCTATGTCTGCATACAGGTCACGAGAGAGCTGCGAAGCTGTAGTCCCTCTGTTACGCCTAGCTATAATGGACAAATCGCGATCTTTTCTGACCGTCGTGGCTCTTAGACGACCTTACCCAGGCTTTCTCTCTATATGGATGCGGTATCCTGGAACTGTTTCCGAAAGTTACACACAATGCTGAGCGTTAAATTGAACTTTCTACAAATCTGGACCTGAGATTAACCTGCTTCTTAGCCTCCTCACAATTCGCCACCTTATTCCATCATCTACACGTTGGTGGTTACTCATTTTTACTGTTACAGTTTGAATTTAACCAATTGCTGCAAAATAACACCAAAAAATTCGCAGAAGCGAATAAAATGCGTTTTAACTTACGCTCAATTATAACGCCTGTATCTCTACTGGCAACGCCGACACGCACGTGTACGCTTGCGTATTTTATGTACAAGATTTACATTTTTGTCTGGCAGTGGCTTTACATTCAGTTCAGTTCCTTCCGCAAAATTTTAAAAAATATGCAAATTCTCTCAATAATTTATTTCACCAATATATAATTATATATATACATATATATATATATATATATACAGGGTGGTCCTAAAATATATGTCAAAAATGTAAAGAAGGTATGTAGAGGGGACCTGAATAAGCATATTTTGTATAGGATTGAGTGTGCAGTAATGCCGCCTTGAGCCGGTAGGGAATCGAATTTTCTTTTGTCTTTACTTGTCTTTTTAGTTTCCTTTGATTCATACTGCTTTACAAGCTAGTGCTTTAATGTGCCATTTCCGCACACACATTCCTATCCGAAATATGCTTATTTATGTCCCCTCTACCTACCTTTACATTTTTGACATATATTTTAGGACCACCCNCTTCCGAACAGTTTATACAATATGATACTTTTTTGGCACTATTTATTAACCTTATAATCTTTCCAAAAAAGCAATCTTCAATGAAAAGAATTTTTTTTTCTTTGACTGGTAATACGAAATTGAATTAAGAAGACATATAGTAAAGAAGCAACGTCAAAAACAAGTAACATACTCATGGGGATTGTTGGTAACTTTTCTTTAAAAAAAAAAGTCGATTTTTATTTTCCCGTATAAAAATAGTACTCTTATTCACCCTTTAGGAACTAATTTACTTCCATCAGCTGCAAGACGAGAAAAATCTGTATTTGGAACAACTAGATGTCTAACAACTAATGTCTGCTGCTGAAAAAAATTCGATGTGCAAAAGAATTTTATTTTACGTTTGAATCTTATATATCTTAAATTATTCCCAATTTAGTTAAAAATATTGTATATTAATACTTAAGTAAAGCATAAGTAGTATGTATAAAATTTTTAAACTTTTTTAACTATTTTTTAAACTAGCTTCTGAGGCACAGTTTTATTACGAGTTTTTAATTTTTTTAATTTGTATTTTAACATGGTAATTCTTCATATTATTCTCTTCCATAAACAGACGATTCATAGGACATTATTAATGCTGTTATCTTCACTCTAAGAAGGGTTTTTCAAAATTGAGAAAAAAATATGAGTCAAAACAGATCCGAGGGTCGTGGTGGCTCTGGGGATAGAGCTCTCGCCACGAGTTGAACCAGTTTCGAATCCCAACGACGGCTAGTCGATACGAATTCCATACCCGGCTCGCACCGATCACATTTCTGACTTAAAATATCCTCACTGGTAGACATATCATGGGTTAAAGTCCTCTTACCGCCAGGCTAACCGTGTAAGATTTATGTGGTTTTTTCCCTATGTAACGTAAATGTGGGTTAGTTCCATCAAAAAGTCCTCCACCAAGACAATTTTCTCCCAATGCTTGATCAAGGAGTTTCTTTGTCTTCTTGATTCAAAATTACAAGGCTGCGGTGTTGAACATCGGTAGTCTTAAACCCAAAATTGGATCGACTGTTCAACGACTGTTATTTTAAAAAAATAGCTCCGAAACAAAGATAGCGAACTCGAAAATTCCACGTCAGCATTATTGATTGTAGTTTTATGCTCAAAGCAGCATTTACTCAGTTTCGAGACAAAACCCACTCTCGTTTAATTGTTTAAAGGAAAAATTACGCAAAATACATGATGTCTCATATTTGAGACAGTGAATTTTTCTCAAAATTGAGTATATGCTGTTTTGAGAAATTACTACACTCACTAATGAGTACATGGAGTTTTCAAATTCGACTATATTTGTTTCGAGCACTTTTTTGCTCAATTTTTAAAACTTTTTTACAGCATTGAAATTTTCACCAAGTTCAGAAGACAAGAAGTTTTTGAGTCAAGTATCGAAATAAAGTTGCAGTCGTGCAGAACTTTTTAAATAATTTTACACACCATTTGCATTGCACAATAAAACTACGCAATCCATCTTCGATTTAACTGTCAACAATTATATTTTGACCTATGATTAACTGAAATTATATTTTCAGTCAAAATTGTGATTATTGCAATTTAAGAGAATGAATAAACGAGGCATCAAAACTTAAAATATTCCATCTTATAAAACGTTAATATATCCAATTGCTGTGAAAATAATAGCTTTACGTTGCATAACACCATTACAATCATCAATTTGTTACAATTAAAATATAAAGTATCTTAACTCATATTCCAAAAACCACGAAAATTAGATAAGAACTAAAATTGCTGGTCTCAACTATTTTTAAGTGTTATCTGAAAATAGAATGTAGAATAGAATATAGTAAATAGAATAGAATAAAACAGAATATTTGCAGAAGTACCAAACGTTTTTGATTAATTTTGTCACAACAGCCAGACTTTTGCAGATAATATATTTTTTTTCTTTTTAAAAAAGTTCTGAAAAATTGAATATATTGTTTCTTGAAAATAAATGATTTTTTTGGGGGGGAGTTCTATTTGGAATTGTTCATTGACGACAAAAATTCGAAAAAATTATCTCTCTGGTACAAAAGATTTATTTTCATTCAAAAATATCTTGTACTAACGTGAGAGAGTAATATTATTTAAATTAAATATATTTAATTATAATTTTTTTTACTAATTAAAAATTCTAAATTTTATTTAAAAAAAGTGCTTCGTTGTACCACTCATTTTCTTTTATTGTTCAATGAATGTTATAATTCAAAAATTGTAAGATTTATGTCATAATTTAGCATCGTCGTTTTTAATATAAATTGTTAAATACTCGTACGATAAATCCGATGAGTTATGCTGTAAAATTCAAAATAAATAAATAAAAACAATTGCGATTCTTATCTAAAATATAATATTGACAAAAATCAATAACAAAGAAAAATATTT